GGAGACACAAATATCAGAGTCAAATTTGCAAAGAATACCTGTTTAGGGATAGAGATAAGTGTCCAGAATTGAAATCTGTTGTTTCAAGTATAAATCAGAGTTCCTAATAATCTTGAAAGTTTCCTAAATCCACTGGTTAAAAAGGATCGTTTCGCCCCAAACGTCAGGCAGTATCGTCCTTTTCAAATTAAGAAAGAAACATGAGGGTCTGTCCCTTTCAGCAACACCATTCTGCGGCCGGAGCCGTGACAAAACACGGGCGTTTACACATCGTTTATCCATTGACACCTCGAAAAAAGAAAAGAGGACACACATAAACATTGGGAAAGCATTGTGGAAACCGTCACCGAAAGAAAACAGACCCGTTGGAGAGCCACGAGACTCGGGTCGAGAGGGAGAGAAGAAAAATGGCAAAAGAAAAAGAAAAGGATACAAAACACGCGTCTTACCTCGTCCCGGCGGACGGTCTCGCTCGTTCTCTCTTCGTCGCAGGTAGACGGTTGTGCGGCGAGATGCGATGCGATGCGATGCGATGCGGTGCGGTGCGGCGACGCACAATCGAAAGCGCGATGCGATGGTGAACGCCGCGCGAGAGCGCGCCACGGACGCGGCGGCGGCGCGCACAGCGGAGCGCGACGAACTTGACTCTCAGCGGAGCAGCGGACCGTCCGACGAGCGAATAAAAACGGAACGTAGAAACCCGGCCGCTGCTTTCTTGCGGCGTCGCGCGCGATCCGGCGCGCCGCCGTGCATTATAAAGCGGACTCGTATTTCGCTCGTATTACTCGTCGTGCCTCGCGCGCAGATACAACGCACACCCGCGGAGTAAAACTGCGCGGCGGCGAGAGAGAGAGGGACGTTTTCGCGAAACGGCAACACAACACGCGGGGAGACTCGACTGAGTGAGTGACTGACTGACCGACGACCGACTTATCCGCGGAACAACGACGATTCCATTCTCGCTTCGCGCTGCCGTCGGCGAGTTTGAGGTCGAGGCTGTATATCTTCTCGCTCTTTCTCTTTCTCTCTCTCACCCGTTTCCTCTTCCTTTCTTTCGCAAGAGAGGCCCCGAAGTCTGGAGCGCCGGTCCAAAAAAACGTAGCACGGGGGACGGACGGCGGAAACGACGCGCGCACAACAGTCGCGAGAGCCAGCTGCGAGAGAAATATCTGAGAAATACAGAGCGACGTGTCTGCTTCTCTCTCTCTCTCTCTCTCTCTCTCTCTCTTCCTCTCCTCTTCCTCCTCTTCTACCGTCGTTCTTTCCGCAGAAAAACACAGTGGGGCGCCACGGGATGCGGTTGATACGCGTCCGCCTTATCTCCTTTATATTCCGCTTCGCACGTGTGTCGGAAACGCGCGCGTGCCAGCAGCGCGACGTTGCTGCGCGTTGCGGCGACGGCGGCGACGATGATGATGACAATAATAATAGGACGCGACGCGACGCGAATACGGAGACGTCGTACGGGGCGCCGCGTCGCGCTTCGAGCCTTCCAGAAGGGTCTATCTGCTCGCGG